GGCGCCCGCTGGGGTCGCTCGGGCTCTGCGGGCCACGAGAAGCTGCCGGTGCACGTAAGTGGTGGGCCAGTCCTAGCTGGGAGACCCCTGTCGTCCAGCCCCCGCAGGCCGGCGCCCCCCACCGGGCCCCGCCCGGCCCTCGGCCTCCCCTCCGCACGGCCCCGGACCCCCGACTCCCGACCTCCGCTCCTCGGATGCCCGGCCCGTCCCCCTTCCGCCAGACTCCCTTCCGCCCGACTCCCCGCTTCCGTCCCCTCCTCCGCCGACCGCGGCCCACCTGGACCCTCCCCCCTCCCCTCAGGTGGAGGACGCCCTCACCTACCTGGACCAGGTGAAGATCCGCTTCGGCAGCGACCCTGCCACTTACAATGGTTTCCTGGAGATCATGAAGGAGTTCAAAAGCCAGAGGTACCAGCGGGGCCCCTACCCGTCCCGGAGGGCCACCCTGGGCCTCAGTCTGCCTGAGCGGGATGGGAGCCCCCAACCCCGGCTGCCCCTCAACAGGGTGACCCCTTGTGCAGGTTGTCGAACTTCTGGGAGCCTCAATTCCTTCTTACAAAAAACGAAACTGAAAGGTACCCCCTTGTGGAGCTGTTGCGGGGATTCCTGGAACGAGGGCAGTGATGGGGTGCGGCGAGTGAGGCAGTCGAGCAAGCACAGAGTCGGATCCTGTCTTTACTCAAAATGTTGATTTTTTAAAAGAATTTTGTTTGTTGGGGATTTTTAAAAATTATTTTAGATTTTTTTCAAGCACTGCATGAAAATGTTATTTAACTTGACTGTTGAATATTTTCGCACTCTCTTAAATCTTATCCCCAAGGTGGGTGCCTCACTTGCCTCACCCCAGTGCCAGGCCCGCTTGGAAATAATGCGCATGAAATGCTTAGTAAGGAACCTGGCACTTAGAAAGAAGGCGTTTAAAACACATTAGCTGTATTCATAGGCACAGAATCAGGAGGGTTAGAGATAGACCGGGGACCTCCCGATAGATAGTGAGCTTGTTTGACAGGGTCTCACTGAGGCTTAGAGTGGGCCAGCTGTTTGCCCAGATCCACCTTAGGAGCAGGGACGGGACCAGAGCTCGGTCCCTCTGACTTAGACTCTAAAGTGTCACATCCCCACTGTGCTGCTTTCCCCTCTGAGGAAATACGGCAGGGCCCACCTGGTTTCCTTCCACAAGCTAAGACCTTGGCCCTGACTGCAGCCCTAAGGGAGACCCTATCTCTCCCCTCAGATTCTTAGCAGCTTTCATACTTGCAGGGCCTTTGACATTTATACATTATAGTCACTTGCCGGGAACAACTCCTGTGTCATGGTCTCCTAATTCATATGAAATGAATCTGTCAACCATTTAGAGGGCTTTAACCTTCTGTCACTTCTTGGAGCCCAGGACTTGCAGCTGGCTGTCCTGACATTTTCAGAACCTAGCACATGTGCTTGCAGTGTTTCGGGAGCCGTGCTGTGTACATATTCTGTGGGTTTTGCCAGGAAGGCACAGGGAGCCCAGGCCCGGTTGCCTTGGCAGTGGATCGCTGTGGGCAGAATCACGCCAGTCACATTTGAGGGTGCTTCATTGTTTGTTGAGGAGCTTGTGCCATGGCACGGGTAAGGGAGGAGTCGATTCTGCTTTCAGTTGGCTTCCCGAGATGCTTCTGCCCACTCTCATTCTTCTTTCCAGCATTGATACTCCTGGAGTCATCCGACGAGTGTCGCAGCTCTTCCACGAACACCCTGACCTGATTGTTGGATTCAACGCTTTCCTTCCTCTCGGGTACAGAATAGACATTCCCAAGAACGGCAAGTTAAACATACAGTCGCCTCTGTCGAGCCAGGTATGCCGCTGCAGTGGTTTGAGTGATCTGGCCTTAGCACAGCCCACCGTAGTACTCAGATACTCAGGCCGGACAGCGTGGCTCGTGTATTTCACTGCTGGAAAGCTGGTGAAGAGCCGATCTTTTTCTTAAAATGCTTCTAGCAGAAATCAAAATAGATTGAAACATCTACATAGGCAACCTCTGCATCCCAAATTGATCCGTTTGGAGGATTTAAATCAAGAGGGGATGTGTCTGTGTGTGTCAGGGAGGCATTCTCCTGACACAGTTGTACGTCCAATCAAAATAATCGCATCCACAGTCATGGAGGTCTTGGTTTGAGGCTCTCCCCCTGAGCACACTAGGCAGGCCACACTTGTACTTGGGCCTGTGGTCCCTCTGATCACCCTCGGTGCCACGCACAAAATAAAGCGGTGGAGGTGCATGTGTGACTAGACACATTTATTGTTGCTGGTGCTTCATTCACCTGCCAGCAGGATCACTGACTGAGCTCAGGCTTGTGGCTTTGGTCCCTTCTTTCTCAAGTGACAGGTTGCTGCCTCTTCTATCTGTGCAGTCCCTTCTTGTGTTTGCTCACCAGATCCCCTGAGAAAAAGAAAGCCTGTTTGAGCTTTACTTTTATAAGGTAACGGTTGTCTTTTTCTCTCCTCGGCCCTGTTGCCATTTAGGGCATAACCCTTTGCTGTGGGGGTGCTGTCCAGGGCATTTGGGGTGTTCAGCTGCATCCCTGGCCTCCACCCACTAGGCCCTCACCCAGTCAAGACAGCCAAAAATGTCTCTAGACATAGCCAAGTGTCTCCTGGGAGCAAAAATCACAACATTGAGAAGTGCTGGTGTAAGTGAATGAGCTCTTTCAACCTCCTCCATCTCTGCCCCAGGGGTTTTTGCAGGGAAGGCAAAAATCTGCTCTGGATGCATTTTGTAGGTTTCTCCTCTGATGATAAAGGAGATCGCAGTTTCCTATCAATTAGGGAGTCGAGATTTGAAAAGAGAGCAGTGAGAGGCAATGTGGCAGTGGCTGGTCCCTCTCTGAGGGGGGCTGGCACATAAATTCTGCCTTTTCTCTACACAAGGCAACCTCCACCATCAGAACATTGTCTCGTTAAAGCCGAGGAGTGCACCTCAGTTTTAAAAAGGAACTTGGAAGCCTTCGGCTACTGAATTCGATAAGCTTCCATTTCATGTTTGCAAATGGAGCCCCAGGAGCCAGAGGTAGCGCTCCTTCCTCCAGATGATAAAAGCCTTAGCGGAGATTAATTTTCATAACAGTCACGGCTAGGGGAGAAAAGCAAGCTCGTTTGCAGGAGTGTGTGCAGGAGCACTTTGCTGAATCTGAAGCGCTACGTAAACACTGGGTGTCATTACCACCACTCGTTAAGAAAGAGCCGGAATCCAAGACCTAAATTGCACTCCACATGTGGAATTTGCCTTCTCAAGCCCTGTTGGAGTAACTGCTCTTGGGGCTGGATCTCCACATGAGCCTCACCTTCCCTTAAGTAGCCAGAAGGCCCCTGCTGCTCCACACACAACTTCGAGGACTATTGGAGAGATAAGGAGACCGGACCAGTCTTGTCTGCCCCTAGGGGATTTCGTGACTGCAGGTCTATTAACTTGAAGACGGGCTTGATGAGAACTTTCCCTTGATAGCTGCCTACCAGGGCTTTATGGTCTCGCTGCAGCCTGGAAACAGCCATATGTAAGGCCCCTTCCTCAGGGGGAGAGGTACGTGCCCTTCGTTTCCTCGGGACACGTGCCGCCCACGTGGTTTCAGTCACATCCACAGACCTGCCGTGTTTCCAGCCCTGCTTCACGCCAGGCGCAAACGCAATGTCCTCTCACCTTCCTGGAGTCCTTTTCGATTCCATGGTAGCCTGAGAACTTTATAGGGCTCCCTACTCGCCAGTGCCCTGGTGATTTTTTTTTTTAATTGGTTTTCTAGCTTTACTATTTTGAAGTATAGCTCCGTGTGTGTGTGTGTGTGTGTGTGTGTGTGTGTGTTTTCCATTTTTCATCTCGTCATGTATCCTGTCAACTATAGACAAGGAGGGAATAGTTCTTAGATGCTGAGGAAGATAAATAAGTTTTAGCCTGTGGGGAGCCTTTTGAGCAGGGTTTCTCAGCCTTGGCACTGTTGCCCCTGGGGCCAGATCATTCTTCCTTGTGGGGGCCATTTTGTGGGTGTTGAGCAGCATCCCTGGCCTCCACCCACCTGATACCAGTAGCGCCCCCTCCCCCAGGATGACAACCTGAAATGTCTTTAGACATTGCCATGTGTCCCCTGGGGGGCAGAATCGCCCCAGTTGAGAACACTAATCTAAAGGGAAGATAGACATGTGCCATGATGTGGGAAGTGTGGCCAGAGAGGGGCCGGGGACCATGGCAGGAAGAACGTCCCCTTGCTGCAGCCGCAGCCTCCTGAATCAACATCTTTTTGGATCTGATTGGCCTTAGTTGTAACATCACCTCCTCAGAGAGCCCTCCACTCCCATCCCCAAGTCATTTTCACAGCACCCCGTTTTATATACTTCAAAATAACATAGCAAAGCTAAGAAATAAAAAACCCACTGTTTCTTGTTGGTTTGCCTTCCCTGGCAGACTGAGTCCTCCAGATTAGACAGGAGGACTACGTCTGTCTGATTCACACTGTCCCCGTTCCAGGACATCAGAGGGACGGGACACTGGATGTTGGTGGGAAAGTGATGAATTTTGGCTGCTGGGTCTTGTTCAGGATGGACCCTGCCTCTTGGGGCCAGCCTTCTTGTGCTTGGCTGGGATGACGGCTGCTTGGATGATAAGTAAAGAGATAAACCTTGAGGTGCAGCTTGTAATTTAGTGACCCCTTTACGTTCAAAGGGAAGCCGGCCGTCTTCCCTCTGGGAAGGGTCATTCGAAGTTCAGTCATTTCCTGGGAGGTTGCCTCTCGTGTTTGTCTTAGTCACCCATGGAGCAGGTGTAGGCCACCTCCTCTGTGCCAGGCGCTGAGGTTTGTTCAGAGTCCTGGCTCTCAGGGCGCTTGCATGGTTGAGGTGGGGACTCACGTGAGACACATATGGACAGATGTGAAATACAGGAGGGAGTTCAGTGCTGCAGGTGACAGACAGCAGGGGCCAGGCCTGGGGAGGTGCTGTGGGCAGAGGCTGAGTGAGGGGAGCAGGAGTCATGCCTGTGGCCCCCTGGGGAGTCTTCCTGATGGGGACATAGAGGCCTGAGGTGGGAACGAGTGGGTGTGCCTGAGAGACAGCCAGGAAGCTGGTGCGGTCAGAGCCCGAAGCAGAGAGTGTAGGAGAGAGAGCCAGGAGCGTGGGAAGCCAGGGGAAAGTTCTGGAAAGGCTTCTCTGGCTGCTGTGCCAGAAGTGGACTGAGGGGGCAAGAGCGGATCTGGGAGGCTAGGGAGGGGCGTGGGAACCAGTTGGAGTGGACGGTGATGTGGGCCAGGGGTGGGTGTCAGTGAAAGCAAGAAAAATCAGTGAGATCACCAGGGGTGATTCCGGGATGCCTGAGTCTCTGGGTGAAGGCAACACCTGATGGGATGACCAGTGCGGGTAGGCCAGGGGGCTGTTCTGTGTTTGGAAAGTCCATCTGAGGCATCTCTTAAATATCTAGGTGGGGCTGTATGTGGACACTCAGATGGACAAGTCGGCCATGTAGGGCGCTTATCAGTGTCTAGGAGGCGTTTGTAACTGTGCCTGGTTGAGGCCACCCACAGCAGTCAGAGAAGACAAAAGCCTGGATTGTTCTAGAAAGTGTAGACCAAGGGTTGGCAAACTGTGGCCCAGGGAACAAAGCCAGCTTATTTTTGTATGGCTGGTCATTCTTACATCTTTCAGATTACTTTAAAATTTTTTTTAAATTGTGGTGATATTTACGTAACATAAAATTCATCATTATGACCATGTTAAAGTGTCCAATTCAGTGGCTTTTAGTGTATTCACAATACCATACAACCACCACTACTAATACCAGAACATTTCTATGACCCCAAAAAGAAAACAGTACTTCCCAATTCTGCCCCCACCCAACCAGCCCCTGGCAACCACTAATCCACTTTCTGTCTCTGTAGAGTTTCCTGTTCAGGATACTTAATATAAATGAAATCATGTACTGTATGTCCTTTTGTGTCTGGGCTTCCTTCTCTCGGCATGTTTTCGAGGTTCATCCATGTTATACCAGAGCATCATTCCTTTTTAAGGCTGTATAATATTCCACTGCAGGTATGGATTGCATTTTGGTCATCTGTTCATCAGTTGATGGACAGACACGTATGTTTTTTCCACCTTCTGGCGATTGTGAACACTGCTCCTATGAACATGCATGTACAAGGATTTGTTTGAACACCTGTCTTTGGTTCTGTGGGTGGATACCTAGGAGTGGAATTGCTCAGTCACCTAGTGACCATGTTTAACTTACTAAAGAATCGCCAGACTGTTTGCCACAGCAATTGCACCATTACTGTCTGGCCTTTTGCCGAGCCCTGGTCTCCAGCGGTGCTTCTCCCATCTTGTCACGGTGACTCACTCCAGGGAATTGGAAGAGGCACATGGTGCTTGAAAATGCCCCCTCGCAGTGGTGGGGAGGGAGCTCCCCACAGCCTCTGAAGCAAACCTCGGCTCCGAGGCTGCTCAAGGGCTGCTCCCTTCCCCCCTGCCCCTGTCCAACTCCTTCCAGCTCCTTCTGCCGCCAAGCCTGTGTACCATGAAGGAACATGAGCACGGACTTCTGTGAGCTTAAGCAAAGGTAATCAGGAACAGCGTCCCCAGAGTGTCATAGAACAAATTCTAGTGCCGGGGAGAAACGGTGCTTAGAGTTGTGACTGCTCTGGATCTTTTGTGTCTGTTTTCCTCGGCTCAGACTTCCTAGAGTTGCCTCTACACCCACTGTCATGGGCTGAATTGTGCCCCCACCCCCAAATTCATATCTTGAAGTTCTAACCCTCAGTATCTCAGAATGTGACTGTATTTGGAGATGGGGTCTTTACAGAGATAATTTAGGCAAAATGAGGCCATTAGGATGGGCCTCAATCCAGTCTGACTGGTGTCCTTATAAGGACAGGAAATTAGGACACAAGGAGAGACCCCAGGGATATGTGTGCTCAGAGGAACGACCCTGTGAGGACACAGCGAGAAGACACCCGTCTACCAGCCAAGAGGCCTCAGGAGATACCAACCCTGCTGGCACCTTGATCTTGGACTTCCAGCCTCCAGAACTTCAAGGAAATAAACGTCTGTTGCTGACACTGCCCAGTCTGTGGTATTTGTTGTGGCAGCCCCAGCGCACTAGTAGACCCACTCAGGTGCCTGTGGGTGTGCCTGGCGGAGGTGTCTGTTGTGATGACAGTTCTGCAGCAGTGGGCAGCAGTGTGCCCGGCGTCCCCTGGAGTCTGGGGTCAGCTGTGGGTGCCAGAGGTGGTGCCAGGCGCCACAGGGGACTTTATCCTTCATCGGTCCATCTGATCATCCCCAACAGTGGGTGAAGCCCACTCTGTTCCAAGCACTGTTCCAGGCACTGAGGATATAGCATTGACTAAAATAGAATCCCTGCCCTCCTGGAGTTTGCCTTCTGATCAGGGCTGGAGAGAGAATAAAATAAGTAAAATACGTTTCCTGTAGGAAGGTGATATGTGCTGTGGAGAAAAATAGAGCAAGAAAGGGGCTCAGAGTGCTGGGAGATAAGAGTCATTTTATTTTGGTGCAGGATGGTTCTGGAAGACTCGCTGAAAGGTTGTGTGTTAGCAAAGACCTAAAGCTGAACCCGAAGGATACCAGCCTGCCCGAGACCCAGTTGGGGACCTGCAGGATGCCCAGCCGTGGTCAGTGGCAGAGGGAGGCCGCCCTCAGGACCACACACAAAATTCCAGTTTAGAAGCATAAACATCACCTTTGGGGGGTGGTCCTGTCCCACCATGAATTAAGATTCCGACTTCCCAGGAGAGAGATGTATGTCTGTTTTTTATTTTTATTGTTACTGACAGAAAAGCACATCAGTGGAGAGCATGCTTGATGACTGCTCAGAGCCCATCTCTCTTCTCAAGTGACTCACCCGAGGCCTAGCACCAAAAGTCCCGCAGCCCTGGGCAACCTGGACGGTGGGCCCCCCTCACCTGCAGGGTCCCAGTCTCATGCCTGCTGACAGCTGGTGCTTTCACACCTGAAAACAGTCTTGCTGAAATGGGCTGGCCAGAGGTGTGGGAAGACTTTACTCTGCTCCAAAAAGGATTAAACAATCCACTCTTTGTAAATCTCTCCCGAATGCTAATTTCTCCAGGTGTATAGAGTGTGCCTCTTAGATTCATGTTCTTTGAATCTGTTGGAAGGATCAGGCAGAGGTGAGTTCGTGAGACTCTCCCAGGAACGCGCTCAGAACGCCGAGGTGGGGCTGTCTCTGTCTGGGTGCCCCCTCCCTGCTTCTCTCTCTCCAGACCCCCAGAAGTAACCTTTTTCTGCATCGACGTAAAACACTTGGCTCTGTGCTAAGTTTTGCCTGTTCTTGCACACAGTGGCTCAGTCTGGCGTTTCTCACAATCTGTTCCCGGTGCCGGGCCCAACAGTAACTCAGTGTTGTACTGTTGTCAGGAGAATTCGCACAACCACAGCGACTGTGCAGAGAACGTCAAGCAGCAGATGCTATATAAGGAGGACAAACCCCAGGTGCCCTTGGAGTCAGATTCCGTGGAATTCAACAACGCCATCAGCTACGTGAACAAGATTAAGACCCGCTTTCTAGATCACCCAGAAATCTACAGGTCATTTCTGGAGATACTGCACACTTACCAGGTAAGAAGCCATAGGTCATGCTTCTTTGTGGGTGTTTGTGGCACCATCCAATATCTGGTGCATTGGAAACATTCAGATTTTCTAATCTGAATTCATGAAATACTGGAAAATTCTGATTAGCTCTTTTTTTTTTAAGCATTAATTTTTTTTTTTTTAACCGTGGTAAAATATATATAAATACAAAACTTAACCAACTTTAAGTGTACCATTCAGTGGCATTAAGTACATTCGCATTGTTGCACAGCCATCACCATCATCCATTTCCAGAACTTTTTCATCTTCCTAACCTGAAACTCTGTCCCCATGAAACACTAACTGCCCCTTCCTCATTTCCCCCAGCTCCTGGCGCCCACCCTTCTGTCAGTACTTTCTGTCTCTATGAATCTGGCTCCGATAGGGACCTCCTAGGAGTGGAATTGTACAGTGTTTGTCCTCTGTGCCTGGCTTGTTTCACTTAGCGTAATGCCCTGAAGGTCCATCTGTACCGTAACGTGTCAGAATGGCCTTTTTAAGGCTGAGTAATATTCCATTGTATGGCTATGCCTTATTTTCTTTATCCATTCATCCATCAGCAGACACTTGGGTTGCTCCCACATTCTGGCTATTGTGAATAATGCTGCTGTGAACATGGGTGTACCTGTTGGAGTTCTGTTTAGGTTTGATTTTAATTTGCCCCTTGAGGCACCTCTGCACCCTCAATAGGAAACACACATTAGAGGATTAAAGAAGAACCCAAGAAGATAGTTTTCTTTTTATAAGATGGCTTAGTTATTGTTTAGACAATAAACTACCCTTTATTTATGCTGATGACAACCGGGCTTTGTGCCAGGTGCTGAGTCGACAGGGATGAATGGTTACTGTTGCTTAGGAGTTCAGTTTAGATGTGGACGAAACTTGGAAATGATTAGGGTGGACGAGAAGGACTGTGTAGGACAGGTGTGTCAGGGTTCAGGGCTGCTGACCCCATAGCGGGTTACAGAGAGGATACTCAGGTTGAATCTTGGCAAATCAGTCAGAACTGTCAGGCAAAAGGTGGACTCTCGGTGCTGGGAATGGCCTGTGCAAACGCCCAGGGGCCAGAACAGGCAGCTGGCTTCAGGGGACTTAGCAGGAAGTGCAGGCAGGCGGGTGGCAAGGGACATCTGTGTCATGCAAAGAGTTCGGATGTCATCCTCACCCAGTCATGGAGTTTCTGATGCCTTTTATTTTTCTAAGCAGCAGAACCCACTTTTAAAAATGAAATCTTCTGCACAACCTTGATAAGTGAAATAAAAACATGGGATTCTTTTTAGCATAAATGTTTAGGAACAGTTTGATAGCATTTGCTCCCTGTAAACCCACTGGAACTGTTTCAATACTCTAAACATTTGTGGGCAGTGGTGCCAGTGACATGCTTGGTCCTGTCAGCCTCATGTCCAATGTCTGCACGGTCCTTGTACGGCCTTGAGAACTTCCTGCTTCTCACAGATAAGTGGTTGCAAGTGGCAGCTGTGAACATCAGTCTGTGTGGAGGGGTGATGTTGTGATCATGGGGGTTTATGGGCTCTTCACAGATTCCGTGGGATCACCACATCTCAGGGGCTGGAAGGATTGTTAGAAGGAAGGCCGGCAGGTATCTGTTGTGTTGATGGGAATCAGGGGCGGGGGGTGGGGGTGGGGGGAGCGGTTTGTTGGCGTGTAGAGAAGTGAAAGTGACTTATCCAAGGTCCTAGCAAAGGGCCATGGGTTGATTTGGAGAAAGCGTGAGGAAGGAAGTACGGCTCAGTGTTCCCCAGTCAGAGCCACAGGGAGTTGGTTGGAAATGCAAGCTGCCTGCACCTCCCCTCAGAGTTGCTACCCCAGGTCCTGCCCATCATCTGCTTTTTTTTTTTTTTTTTTTTTTTTTTTTTGGGAGGTTTAACCCTTTCCGTTTTGAACTGCTATTTGTATCGTGCTTTTTACTTGGGTCGTCCTCAATGTTAATAAGTTTCTGTACAGTGATAAGCACCACTGCGCCACCAGGGAAGCCCCAGCATCTGCTTTTTGAACAAGCCCCCTGGCGACTCTCAGATTGCCTGTTTCTTCAAAAGGAGCTGGAAATCTGAATTTCTGTGTGAGTTCTTCCTAATTTTCGAACATTGATGCGGATTTTTAAAAGACACTGTGAGGCCAAAGCAGCAGCTCTAGGGCCACACGTTACTGTTTTTTCTCTCTGTTGGGCCTCAAGTCAGACCTTAGCTGTGCCCCCTGCCCCCTCAGAGCCCTTTGCCTCACCTCCCTGAACCTCGGGGTTCTAATCCATAAAATGGCTACAGCGCTGGGGCTGCTGATCCCGGTTAAATATGGTTACCGAGGTCACTGATGCAAGCACAGTGCTTGCCTCAGGTCAGCCATGGGCAGCTGTTTCCTTTATACAACTTGGAACATATGTCGTGTGCCTGGATGAGCACAGCCAGTTCTGCCCTGACGTCCCCCCAAATGACCGTGCTTTGCAAATAAATGCTCACCAACCACAGGTCTTATGGAAAAACGGGATCAGAGCGTGAGACTCAAAAACTGTGTCAGCAGCACATTAAAAAAAGATAGGCACCTACTTGAAACCAGTAGCGCCGTTGTACGCGCATTAAATGGCTAAGCATGATGTGAATATTGCAGCACATCCGGCACTTGACCTCGGAAAAGACCTGAGTGTCATGTGTAGACATGGGTGTGGAAAGGTTGCAGCCTGCGGGTCACTGTGAGGTACCAGGAGCAGGTTTCCTAAAATGGGATGGTTTGTCACCCCAGAGGGGGGGTCAGGCAGAGTGGCTCTAGCAGCTGAGGGAGCGATGTTGGGGGCGTGTGTATGTCTGGGGTCGTGTATTCCCAGGTGGCTTGGCTCAGCCAGGTGCACTTTTCCACATTCACCCCATGTTGCTCCTGAACAAAATCCTGCCTCAGCAAATGCAGAATCCATACCACGCTCAAATCATTCCCTAGTCCGTGTCCCAAACAGATCTGTGTTCAAAACAGGTGTTAGAGCAGAACTGACTCTCTCTGCAGGAAAATTCCCAGGAGGTGCGTCCCTAGGTCAGAGGGTGTGCGCTCAGCACATGATCATAGGTGGCGCCAGGCTTCCCTCTGCCAGTGGCACCAATCTTCCTTTCCGCCTTGTAATGAGAGTGCCCAGTTCCCCACACCCTCATCAGAAATCACCAGTCCTTATGCAATCTGATGAGCAGAAATGCTGTGACGCTGTTTTAAATTGTATTGCTTCAAACATCACTCAGTCTGATCACTGTTTCATCTGTATAGGGATGATTTGTATTTATTCTCTGAGCAGAACGGTCTTTGCCTGATTTTTTCTTTGGCCTTCAAGTGTCCCGGTAACTTTGGTCAGGAGAGGGTGGAGGCAGTTTTTTCTCCCTCCAGACGGGTGCTCCGTGTGCCAGGACTGGAAAGTAGCTTTGCTCAGTGTACATAGGGCCGAGAGGGGAGGGCGTGCAAAGGGCTCCCCATTCCTTGTCTCTTCCCCCTTTGCAGCTGTGGAGGGGGGATGTCGAAGCCCTGCTGCTGGGCGCTCTGGGAGGGCCCGACACCAGCGCCTCATGCTCTGTCATGTTCCTGGGTGTAAAGTTGACAGGGACTAACTTCTGATGGCTGACTTGAGTTGTGTTCACTGCTTCCTGCCCTGCCGACCTGGGTCCCGTCTGGTCCTCATCTTGTTGCCTTAAGCTCCAGGTCAAGCCATCTTCCTTCCAGAGTCTTAGTGGCTCTGGGGGAACAGGTCCTTTGACCTCTAAGTCCCTTCCCTTCCTTCTTCACCCTCTGCCCCTTCCAGACCCAGAGCTATAGCTCCTCAGCCCCCGGCCCAGCAGGATGAGTCCCCTTGACCTCGGGAGGACCGTGGGTTCGCCACTGACCTTGCACTTCCCCAGCCTGTGCTCGAGGGTGCTTGAGGGCTGGGGTCAGGTCCTTCCGTGACTGTCCCCTCCCACATCCCCTCCACACTCCCAGCACAGGCCGCATCCATGGCCGGGGCTCAGGCCGCGTTGTGCAGCAGGCTCAAGACGCAAGCGCACAGACTGTTCTCCAGAGCGGGGGGGTCGGGGGGGGAGTGGTTAGGGGACACCCAGAGGTGTCAGCAGGGCGGCGGGCTGGGCCCCCTGTCCTGGTGGCAGCAGTCATGGGCTCTGCCAGCCAGTTCTCTTTCGTGAGTCATCCCTCTGTCTCCTCCACATTGGGATGCCTGAATGTCACAGCCTAGGGTTCCTCCTGGTTCCTTGGCTAACGACTCATTTTCCCTCCCCGGAAAATCGGCAGAAGGAGCAGCTGAGCACGAAGGGCCGTCCGTTCCGAGGCATGTCTGAAGAGGAGGTGTTCACCGAGGTGGCCAACCTCTTTCGCGGCCAGGAGGACCTGCTTTCCGAGTTTGGACAGTTCCTGCCCGAAGCCAAGCGGTCCCTGGTGAGTACAGAGCACTGACGCCAGTCTGGGGCCACGTTCTCATTAGCCAGAACCCCCTGCCAGCACAGCCCCCAGGCCAGGCCAGGTTTATCCACTCCCCAGACACACTGGTTTCCATCAGAAGCCACAGCCAGTGCAGACACACACGGGCCCCCAGTGCAGGCTCCACCTCCACGGGGAGCTGGCGCCAATCCTCAAAAGGGCTTCTCTGGACAGACAGCAGCCAGGTGATGAGGGCTGGTTGGGAGGCAGAGTGTCTTCCCATGGAGACCTGCCTGTAACCAGGTCCTTGTGGGAAGGTGCAGGAGGGGTCAGGCTCACTGCCTACGCCCCTGGAGGGACTGGGTGGAGGCTTGGCAGTGACTCGGGGTGGGAGTGCAGAGAGCTGATAGCGGAGGAGGGGCCTGCGATGGGGAGGTTGGGGGTGCAGACTGCACTGTCAGCCTTTCTCCCTTTGCTATGGACTGAGGCCTGCTGACCTGCCCTTTCCATTTCTTCTTTTTTTCTTTTCCTATGAACTTATGGCTTTAAAAAAAAAAAAAATTGAAGGAAAATTCACGTAACATAAAACTCACCATTTTAAAATGTACATTTCAGTAGCATTTAGAATATTTAAAATGTTGTGCAACCATCACCCCTCTCTAGTTTCAGAACATTCCCATCACCCCAAAAGGAGACCTGTCCCCATTAGCAGTCACTCCCCATCCACCCCTCCTTAGATTCTGGCAACCACCAATCTGCTTTCTATCTCTATGGATTTACCTGTTCAGGCATTTCACATAGATGGAATCATGCAACATGTGGCCTTTGGGTTGGTGTCTGGCTTCTTTCACTCAGCATCATGATTTTAAGGTTCATCCATGATGTAGCATGTGTCAGAACTTCATCCCTTCTATGGCTAAATGATAATTCCGTTGTGTGGATGGACCACATTTTGTTCATCCATTCATCCATCAGTGGACACTTGGCTTGTTGCCACCTTTCAGTCATTGTGAATCATGCTATGAACATGCATGTATAATTTTTTGTTTGAACACCTGCTTTCAGTTATTTTCTGTCTATGCCTAGGAGTGGAGGTGCTGACTCATGTGGTAACTGTGTTTAACTTTTGAGGAACTGCCAAACTGTTCTCCACGGTGGCTGGACCATTTTACGTTCTCACTAGCAATATACCAGGGTTTCAATTTTCCACATCATCACCAATGCTTGAGGTTTTCCTTTTCAAAAAAAATTTATAGCCTTTGTAGTTGGTGTGAAATGGTATCTTATTATGGTTTTGATTTGCATTTCCCTGCTGACTAATGATATTGGGCATTTCATGTGCTCATTGGCCATCTGTTTATCTTCTTTGGAGAAATGTCTATTTAAGTACTTTGCACTGTTTTTACTTTGTCTCTGTTGCTGGGTTGTAAGAGTTCTTTATATGTTCTTGACATTAGTCCTTTATCAAATATTTTCCTCTATTCTGTAGGTTGTCTTTTCACTTTCTTGTTAGTGTTGATGCACATCAGTTTTACATTTTAGTCAAGTCCAATTACCTATTTTTTCTTTTGTTGCTCATGTTTTCAGTGTCAAATCTCAGAATCCATTGCTAGTTCTGAGGTCATGAAGGTTTACCTAAAGTTTTCTTTTAATACTTGTACAGTGTTAGCTCTTCTATTCAGGTTGGTGATCCATTTTGAGTTAATATTTGTATATGGTGAGGTAGGGGTCCACTTTACATGTGGCAATCCAGTTTGTTGAGGAAACTGTTCTCTTTCCATCATTGCATGGTCTTGGCACTCTTGTCAAAAATCAATTGACCATAGTTTTATGGGTTTATTTCTGGACTCAGTTCTAATCCATTGATCTCCATGTCTGCCCTTAGGCCAGCACCACACTGTCATGATTACTGTAGCTTTGTAGTAAGTTTGAAATCAGGAAGTGTGGGTCCCCCAACTTTGTTTTTTTTCAAGATTGTTTTGGCCAGTCAGGGCCCCTTGCAATTCCATATGAATTTAAAGATTGGCTTTTCCACTCCAGCAAAAAAGGCCATTGGGATTTTGAAAATGATTGCATTGAATCTTTCAACTGTTTTGGGAGTATTGCCATCCTAACAAGATTAATCCACAAATACACAGCATTTTCCCATTTATTTAAGTCTTTAGTTTCTTTCAACAGTGTTTCAAAAATTTTTTTCATTGTGTAAGTCTTGCATCCCCTTGGTTAAATGTATTTCCAAATATTTTGTTCTTTTTGTTGTTGTAAATGGAATTGTTTTCTTAATTTCATTTTTGGATTATTCATTGCTCATGTTTAGAAGCACCACTGCTTTTTTGTGTTGATTTTGTATCCTGCAACTTTGCCGTATCCAGTTTATTAGCTTTGATAGTTTTCATGGATTCCTTCGCATTTGCTAATAGAGCTAGTTTTCTTTCTTCCTTTCCATTTTGGATGCCTTTTATTTCCTGTTTTGGCCTAATTGCTCTGATGGAACTTCTAGTACTGTGCTGAATAGAAGTGGTGAGGGTCGATATCCACATCTTGCTCCTGATCTTAGAGGAAAAGCTTTCCATCTTGCACCATTGAGTGTGATGTGAGCTATGGGTTTTCCGTAAGCACCCTCGAGTTGAGAAAGCTCCTTCTATTCCTAGGTTGTTGAGTGTTCTCTTTCCTCTTTTTATTCTTCCTCTTTGCCCTTGATGACAACTTGGGGTGTGAGCACACAAGAGTCCACCCTTCCCACCTTCCTGTGTCACCACCGCCTCTCCCGGGTCTGCTTCTTGAATGAAGATGCAGTGGGGGCACAGGGCTGGGGGGCAGTGGGTCTTGAAGGAAGGGGCTCAGGGGTGATAGCGGTCTGAGTTTGGATGCTGTTCAAGACTCTTAGTCGATTGGGCAGACTTCCGGTGTGCGGGTCGGGGCTTGTCCCCGTGTTACTGTCTCTGGGACACAGAGCACCATCCCTAAGAGGAGGTTCCACCCAGAAGCACTTCCTGACTCAGAGTCAGAGAAGCTCTGTGCCCATCCTTTGGGCTGAAAACAAGTCCAGGAGCTGTAACCAGTCCTGCCTACCCGCCTGGAGCCTTGGGTGTCCTGGGGGCCTGGACAGAGCCCCGTGAGCACACAGCCTGGGCCTCCTCAGGCTCTGGGTGCTGCAGGCAGGCTTGAGCCGGCCGTGTCACCTCCCAGGCCTCGTTGCCTTCTCTCTCACACGGGACTGACCGGCCCTCCTGCTCGGGTGGGGACTGAGCTGTTGTCCTTTAAGTGCTTTTCGTGGGGCCTGGCTCGTGCTCAGTGTTCCGGAAAGAGCAGCTGCGGTTGTGCTGGGAAAGTAGGCCTAGAATCCCGTCTGGTCGTCTCATCCTGTCCTCCCAGGGTCTCCCTCTGCATCTCCAGGACCAGCCGGCTGCCTGGCCTGGAGGCTCTTGGGGGATACTGGGGGGGGGGGGGGGGGGCCCGTGGGGGGGGGGGGGGGGGCGGTCAGGAGGCCCCAGCAGTCAGAGCACAGGGGCACAGAAAATAAAAGACAGGGTTTGTATAGGTAGGGGGCGTGTACTGGTGGGGGGGGGTGG